CATTCAAGTGCTGCGACAAGGTTTAGGGAGTTTGGGAGTGACATGTAGCGAATGCAACGGCTAGTACAGCGACATGTCAAGCGATCGCTACACTAGACCGTTTCTAGGCTTCTGCCGTCATCCCTGCTATACCTGCGGTGCATAGTCTGGCCTTCCAGTTCTGTGTGTGACCAGATCCGGAACCCATCTTCCAAGTCCTCCAATTTTTGCAACTAGAAGGGCCCAAGGGGTTTTTGAAGGAAGTCTTCAGCTCTTCAATTTTTACCCCGAAGTCGCAGGCTGAGAAAGTTTTTGTCCGAAGTGAAGCAGCAATCGAGACAGGAGAGCAAAGAAGAGGTGCCTTGAAGCTGAGGACGCCCTCGAACCGCGTGGTGGTTCCGAAGATCTACATGGACTGGGAAAGCTGAAACCCCCTTAAATTCATAAATTAAAAAACCCTTCAGAACCCCGTGAATTGGCGCCACACTAGGCGCATGCCTTACAGGGTCTGAAATGCAGACTACATGGGGGTGTTTTAGCGCTCCAAGAGTCCTCCTTGGTGTTCCGGAAGTCCGACATGTAGAGATATGAATGGACCGTCCTCGATTTCAGAGGAAGTTGACTTCGAAAAGAGCTTGTCATATTATGAAATTCTGTGCCATCTCAAGGCCACCCCAAAGATAAATTGTCAGACACCAAAAACCCCCAAACCCTGCAAAAACACCGCGAATATTTTGGCTCTTTCAGGAGAATCGAAAGTTCCCGGAAGTGAAGCAGGGCAACCACTTCTGCATCAGGCCAGGGCTCTTGCTATCCACCATTCATTAGACCATTCATTTGGCCATTCATTTGAAAGAACAGTCTTTTGACAAGCTAAGGATAATTTGGGATCTCGTTAGGCCTGAACGATAGCCTGAGAGAAGCCCGATAGGAGCAGAACTCAATTTACTCCGCGCTTGTAGACAACGCTCGACTTGCTTGAGGCTGTGGGGCCCCAGGTGCTTTAGCTTCTCCTTTAGCTCTCGACACGAGGTGTACCGGGAAGCTGATCATCAAGAAGGAGGGCGACTACCAGTTTTACCTGAGCTCCGACGATGGTGCCTTCTTTCAACGGGTTCATTGGCACTGATGACTGTAGCGTACAGATTTGTCAGAAGGCTGACAGGACCCAAACAACGGTCACTCCAGGTGTGTGTGTGTGTGTGTGGACAGTATCACACCACGAAACCCGCACGATCCAGAATATGCCGCCATTCGGAGTTTTCGCGCATTCCGCAGACGCCGTGGCCCTTTGGCCCCAGCATTAAGACCGTTATGAGCAAGAGTATGTGAGGAGGATTATGAACCAAGTTTTCGAATTTGCTCGAGGTACAGCTTCCGGTCCGTTATGTATATTGATTCTATTCCCAGCCTGGTCGACAGCCTCTAGGCATCAAGAAGTTTTACACGCCTAGGTTCAGGCATTATGTCTCTGTCGACAAGTTTCACAGGCTGTGCCCGTGTTGGGCGACAATATCTACGAGTTTTCATGTCCTCGCCAGGTAGGTGTGTGCGGTGTGTGTGTGTGTGTGTGAGAGAGAGAATGTGTGTGAAACATTTCTATCCAACTTTGTTGCGAACATGCGTCGGTGTCGCAGACGTGGAGCATGGGCATTGATGTTGCAATGTTTGATTTTTACCAAACTCATGCCATAGTCATAGTCCTTACAGCAATGACACAGCAATCGCCTGCACAGCTTGCCACAGAGCATGCGCCGCATTGATGGGCCAGTGCCAGACATATGTCATTCTCCTTGAAGAGCACATACAGCACTGACGTCATAGTCGGTGTGAATCATGGGAGATAGTGATGTCGCAGCGGGATCCCTCTGTCCGACATGCAAATTGGGGGTCCGACATGCAAGGTTGGGTTTTCGAGATGCAAACTTTCTTGGGGTCCGACATGCAAAGGTAGGTTTTCGAGATGCAAACTTGCTTTCGAGATGCAAACTCCCGATTTCCCGTAAAATTAGTAAAATAGTAAAATAGTAAAATCTGGGTCGGACTGGCGCAGGTGGGTTTTCGAGATGCGAACTGCTGAGCCCGTGGAGGAAATTCTATTAAAAGTAAAAAGAGAGGGAGGAATTTTCTCTGGATTTCGCGCGAAATCAGTAAAGCGGTAAATTCTGGGTCCAACCGGCACAGGTGGGTTTTCGAGATGCAAACTCCCGACTTCCCGTAAAATAGTAAAATAGTAAAATAGTAAAATCTGGGTCGGACCGGCGCAGGTGGGTTTTCGAGATGCAAACTCCCGAGTTCGCGTAAATTAGTAAAATAGTAAAATAGTAAAATAGTAAAATAGTAAAATAGTAAAATAGTAAAATAGTAAAATAGTAAAATCTGGGTCGGACCGGCACAGGTGGGTTTTCGAGATGCAAACTGCTGAGCCAGTGGAGGAAATCCTATTAAAAGTAAAGAGAGAGGGAGGAATTTTCTCTGGATTTCGCGCGAAATCAGGAAAGCGGGTCCAACCGGCACAGGTGGGTTTTCGAGATGCAAACTCCTGATTTCCCGTAAAATTAGTAAATAGTAAATTAGTAAAATCTGGGTCGGACCGGCACAGGTGGGATTTCGAGATGCAAACTGCTGAGCCCGTGGAGGAAATCCTATTAAAAGTAAAGAGACAGGGAGGAATTTTCTCTGGATTTCGCGCGAAATCAGTAAAGCGGTAAATTCTGGGTCCAACCGGCACAGGTGGGTTTTCGAGATGCAAACTCCCGATTTCCCGTAAAATAGTAAAATAGTAAAATAGTAAAATCTGGGTCGGACCGGCTGCAAACTCCCGAGTTCGCGTAAAATTAGTAAAATAGTAAAATAGTAAAATAGTAAAATCTGGGTCGGACCGGCACAGGTGGGTTTTCGAGATGCAAACTGCTGAGCCCGTGGAGGAAATCCTATTAAAAGTAAAGAAAGAGGGAGGAATTTTCTCTGGATTTCGCGCGAAATCAGGAAAAGGGCAATTTCTGGGTCCAATTGGCACAGGTGGGTTTTCGAGATGCAAACTCCCGATTTCCCGTAAAATTAGTAAAATAGTAAAATAGTAAAATCTGGGTCGGACCGGCACAGGTGGGTTTTCGAGATGCAAACAGCTGAGCCCGTGGAGGAAATCCTATTAAAAGTAAAGAGACAGGCAGGAATTTTCTCTGGATAATAGAATCCTGGTCCGACATGCAAGGTTGGGTTTTCGAGATGCAAACTCCCGATTTCCCGTAAAATTAGTAAAATAGTAAAATAGTAAAATAGTAAATCTGGGTCGGACCGGCACAGGTGGGTTTTCGAGATGCAAACTGCTGAGCCGGTGGAGGAAATCCTATTAAAAGTAATGAGACAGGGAGAATTTTCTCTGGATAATAGAATCCTGGTCCGACATGCAAGGTTGGGGATGCAAACTCCCGATTTCCCGTAAAAATAGAAAAATAGTAGAATAGTAAAATAGTAAAATCTGGGTCGGTTTTCGAGATGCAAACTGCTGAGCCCGTGGAGGAAATCCTATTAAAAGTAAAGAGACAGGGAGGAATTTTCTCTGGATTTCGCGCGAAATCAGTAAAGCGGTAATTTCTGGGTCCAACCGGCACAGGTGGGTTTTCGAGATGCAAACTCCCGATTTCCCGTAAAATTAGTAAAATAGTAAAATAGTAAAATAGTAAAATAGTAAAATAGTAAAATAGTAAAATAGTAAAATAGTAAAATAGTAAAATAGTAAAATAGTAAAATAGTAAAATAGTAAAATAGTAAAATAGTAAAATAGTAAAATCTGGGTCGGACCGGCACAGGTGGGTTATCGAGATGCAAACTGCTGAGCCGGTGGAGGAAATCCTATTAAAAGTAAAGAGACAGGGAGGAATTTTCTCTGGATAATAGAATCCTGGTCCGACATGCAAGGTTGGGTTTTCGAGATGCAAACTCCCGATATCCCGTCAAATTCGTAAAATAGTAAAATAGTAAAATAGTAAAATCTGGGTCGGACCGGCACAGGTGGGTTTTCGAGATGCAAACTGCTGAGCCGGTGGAGGAAATCCTGTTAAAAGCAAAGAGACAGGGAGGAATTTTCTCTGGATAATAGAATCCTGGTCCGACATGCAAGGTTGGTTTTCGAGAACACACCCGATTTCCCGGTGCGGAATCATAATTAGTAAAATAGTAAAATATAAAAATAGTAAATAGTAAAATAGTAAAATAGTACAATAGTAATAGTAAAATCTGGGTCGGACCGGCACAGGTGGGTTTTCGAGATGCAAACTGCTGAGCCCGTGGAGGAAATCCTATTAAAAGTAAAGAGACAGGGAGGAATTTTCTCTGGATAATGGAATCCTGGTCCGACATGCAAGGTTGGGTTTTCGAGATGCAAACTCCCGATTTCCGTCGGACCGGCACAGGTGGGTTTTCGAGATGCAAACAGCTGAGCCCGTGGAGGAAATCCTATTAAATGTAAAGAGACAGGGAGGAATTTTCTCTGGATAATAGAATCCTGGTCCGACATGCAAGGTTGGGTTTTCGAGATGCAAACGGCTTGGTGCCATGCATCTCGGGCGCGCGCTTTGCATCTCGAAAACCCAACCTTGCATGTCGGACGCCGCAGTCCCGTGGAAGGTGCCCGTGTTCACAATACTCTCTGGTGGAAGACTGCACAGCAGTCCACATCTTCATTGAAGACACATGTTCACAGGACAAGCCATTCATTTGTCACCTGCCTCGCTGCTTCATTCTTCGGCATCCTTGACCGACACGTGTGCACGTGCGTTTGCAATTCAATCTCAATAATACTTGTGGGTGGAACAAGAGGAGAACAAGATACTGTATCCCATAGGAGAGTCCACGGCTGGTAGTGAGTACGCAAATGTCATGTCTACCTCTAGTGGTTCATTGCGTGCGGAGCCTTCATGCAAATTCTTGCTTGTTATTTGCTCATGTCGTGTGGTGCTGGCAGCATTGGTAGATGTGATGGTTCGCGTGTTTTCGTGCCTGATTTTGAAGGTTCTCTCATGTGGCTGAACGGTGAGAAGGTTGTGGATAACAACGGCTGCCATGGAGAGACGGAGCGTTCGAGCACCAAGAAGAAGTACAAGGCAGGTTCCCACCCGTTGGTGGTGGACATGTGTGAACTCGGTGGCGGCGAGGCGGGGGCCCCAGGAACAATTTTCGCGACTTGCGCATATGAAGCCCATTGTCAGATAATATGGAACCTGAATTATGTTCAGTTTGTTGAGGTGCTCAAGATGCGCTACAAAGGGCCCGACACAGGCAACTCCAAGAAGACGGTGCCCAAGTCCGCGCTGCGACTGCCAGTGCAGAAGCGCCTCATTCGTGGAAGTCTCATATTTGTGTCACTGCCTGGTTCGCTCGGGAGAATGTTCGTTATAAGCGTGCTTTGCAGTGCGGTGCTCTTTGTTGAAGCCGTTCTCTGCGCGTAAGGGTGGAGCACTATGGAACTTGGCAGTTTCGTCGTATTATGTGGGCTGCTGCGAGGGTAGTTTTTTCTTTGTGTCCGAAGAGGTTCAGGCTTCTTCATCATATTCGCACGATAGAGCTCTCACATTCACTTAGTGGGGGGAGTCTAAACTTTTGATCTCTCGCTCGGAACTCCAAGATCTGTGTACGAATTCATGGATCCAACGTGGCTCAGGGACTTGTGTCAGGACAACATCAGTCTGGGGCTCGAAACTGCAGGCGAGAACTGGAATTGGGAGCAGGCCCCCAAAAGGCTGCGCGGCGCTTACAACGAGCCCATCCGAGCCCATCGCTGAGCCCATTGCTGAGCCCCCCAAGCCTCGCCTCTCAAAAATTCCGTTGAGAGTCTTTGAGCCCTCTTGAGCTTTTTTGAGGTGCAGCGGGACTCTCCTGAACAATCAGAATGACGACGTGGCCTGTGACAAGATCAAGGACTGTGTGGTACTGCTTGTGGTCTCGAACGACGTTCTGTCATTGATCATCCCCGTCCACGCAGAGGACAAGGAAAAGTGCAAGAAGAGCTATGAGCGCGCCGATGCCTTACCTCGCCCAACGGAGAACGCCCTCACTTTGGGCGCCAGCTTGCTACAATCATTGCCAGCTTATGCCAGGTTGAGTCAGTAGCTTAGTTTCGTGGAGTCAAGTTATACCCACAAGTCAAGGCCCATGCTGTCGTCGGCGGGGTCAGCAATAATTAGTTCAGGGGGAGAAACTGACAGCTACCCTAAACCCTAAATCCTAAACCCGAAGACGAAGGCAATGAGGAGACGTTCCGCATGGCACGTGATTTTCAGACATGACCGGCGTTCTCGTGAGGTCGGCAAAACTGACACCTACCTTCAGTGCGTGCCAACGGATGCTTCCCAGGAGGTGCGCTCAGGAGTTGTCCTGACCGGAATTGGGCATCTGTTCACACGTTCACGCGTCTTGGGTTTGGATGTTTAGGTTTAGGGGATGTGTCTCAGGATTCGGACCTCGCTGAGCCTCCTTCAATTTTGGGAATCCTTGGACCTTAGATATTTCAGGTCTGTTTTGGGATTCCCGGATCCCTCCTGTAACATCCTGTCCTGCAACGAAAGTTCCCTTGAGCTGTGAACTTCCCCACCGCTTCATGAGACACATTTTTTCATTGCTGCCGAGCTGAAAGTTGGGGCGCGTTCATTTTTTCTAGAAGGTCCCGCATAGGTTGGAGGGGCACCAGGGTGGCCCCTCTCCCCCTCTCCCCCTCTCCCCCTCTCCGCCCCCTTCCCCCCTCTCCTCCCCCCTCTCCCCCTCTCTCCCCCTCTCCCCCTCTCCCCCTCCCCCCTCTCGCCCCTCTCCCCCTCCCCCCTCCCCCTCTCTCCCCTCTCCCCCTCCCCTCCCCCCCCCCCCCCCTCCCCCCCTCGTCCCCCTCTCCCCCTCTCCCCCTCTCCCCCTCTCCCCCTCTCCCCCTCTCCCCCTCTCCCCCTCTCCCCCCTCCCCTCTCCCCCCTCTCCCTCTCCTCCCTCTCCTCCCTCTCTCCCTCTCCCCTCCCCCTCTCCCCTCTCCTTCCCTCTCCCCTCTCCCCCCTCTCCCTCGCTCCCAAATCGCTCCCCCGCTCCCCCTCTCCCTCGCTCCCTCGCTCCTCCTCGCTCCCATCCCTCGCTCCGTCGCTCCCTCGCTCCCCTCGCCCGCTCCTCCCTCGCTCCCTCGCTCCTCGCTCCTTCGCTCCCTCGCTCCCTCCCTCGCTCCCCTCGCTCCCTCCTCCCCTCTTCGCCTCCCCCGCTCTCCCTCTCTCCCTCTCTCCTCCTCCTTCTCCCTCTCTCTCCCTCTCTCCCTCTCTCCCTCTCTCCCCTCTCTCCCTCTCTCCCTCTCCCTCTCTCCCTCGCTCCTCAACCCCTCTCCCCTCTCTCCCCCTCTCCCCTCTCTCCCCCCCTCCCCCTCTCCCCCTCGCCCCATCGTCTCCCCCTCTCCCCCTCTCCCCCTCCCCCCTCTCCCCGCCTCTCCCCCCTCTCCCCCTCTCCCCCCTCCCCCTCTCCCCCTCTCTCATCCCCCTCTCCCCCTAAGTCCCCAACTCACCCCTCACCCCCCCTCCCCCTCCCCCTCTCCCCCTCCCCCCCTCTCCCCCCCATCTCCCCCCTCTCCCCCTCTCCCCCTCTCCCCCCTCTCCCCTCTCCCCCTCCCCCTCCCCCTCGATCCCCCTCTCCCCTCCGAAAATTCCCCCTCTCCCCTCTCCCCCTCTCCCCCTCTTGTCCCCCTCTCCTCATTTTCTTGTGAATACCCCCTCTCCCCCTCTCTCCCCCTCCTCCCCCATTCTCTCCCCTCTTTCCCCCTCTCTCCCCCCTCCCTCTCGCCCCTCTCCCCCTCATCCCCCTCTCCCCCTCACCCCCCCCTCTCTCACTCCCCCTCTTCCCCCTCCCCCCCTCTCCCCCTCTCCCCCTCTCCCCCTCTCCCCCTCTCCCCCTCTCCCCCTCTCCCCCTCTCTCCCCCCTCTCCCCCTCCCCCTCTCCCCCTCTCCCCCTCCCCCACTCTCCCCCTCTCCCCCTCGTTCCCCCTCTCCCACCTCCCCCTCTCCCCCGCTCCCCCTCTCCCCCTCGCCCCCTCGCTCCCCCTCATCCCCTCTCCCCCTCTCCCCCCTCTCCCCTCCCCCCTCTCCCCCCTCTCCCCCCCCCTCCCTCCCCCTCTCCCCCTCTCCCCCTCGCCCCCCCGCTCTCCCCCTCTTCCCCTCTCCCCCTCTCCCTCCCCCTCTCCCCCTCTCCCCTCTCCCCCTCTCCCCTCTCCCCTCCCCCCTCCCCCCCTCTCTCCCCCTCCCCCTCTCCCCTCTCCCCCTCTCCCCCCCCCCGTCCCCCTCTCCCCCCTCTCCCCCTCGCCCCCGCTCTCCCCCCGCTCCCCCCTCTCCTCCCACTCCCCCTCTCCCCCTCTCCCCCTCTCACTCTCCCTCGCTCTCGGCAGTCTCTCGCCCTCTTCTCTTGAAAGGTGAACGGGCTCATCAACTGCCTCGCGCAAGATCCTTGCAAGCCATAAGAGCGCCTTTGAGCACCTCCTGCATCTCCGCAATGCTCCCCCCCTTAAACCCCAAACCACTCAGCTCTGCTCTTTAATTACGTCACGGTGCTGTTACTGTTTCCCCCCATTAGGAAGAGCTAAAACGCTGCCAAAGCTGCTGTGGCCAAACTTCGCCCGCACTTGCGTCAGATTCGGCCGTGCGGAGTGAAAGTGTGAACGCGAATCCCATGAGTTTCGATGAGTTTGGAATTTTGTTTTGTTCACAGGAGCATTTCTGAGACTTTGAAGCACTCAACTCAGAAAGCGCCCTGAATGCCCCGTGAACCTCCGACACACCTCAGTCCCTAATCCGCCCCTCATGTGGGACGGTGGTCTCCCATTTTGTCTCCTGTTCTGGCGGGGGGTGGTCCTCAATTGCTGTTTGCGGTCGAGGTCGGTGTGGTAGAGCCCCCCCCCCCCCCTCCCCCCGGTTTCCACCACGCCCGCCCCATTGCACCCTGACTCGTTGAGACCCATATGAGGGCATGCCTGTTGGGCTGGGGCCGTCGGGCGATTCCTGTGCACCTGTGCAGCGATTGGAGAATATGGTGTAGTCAGAGCTGTCCTCGTCGGCTCCTTGCCTGCTTATCATGATATTGACGCTTCACGATGCTTCACGCTCCGCATTTTGGCTTCGAACTCTGTCATGGTTCCTAGGATCAGCCTGAACTCTGCAAGCCCAACCCTCTCATGGAAGGCCAGCCCAAGGCATGCAAGCCTCAAAAGAAACCATGTGCAAAGCTTCCGTGTGATTGCTTCCGAGCTGCCATGTCCTTGGTGCCCCCGGCTTTGCCCAGGCCCAGGGAAGTTTTGTCGTTCCCGAACCGTAACTTCTATCCAAGCCCCCGCATCTCTTGACCCTGTGGTGATCTCAGGCTGAAGGTGTAGAGATGTGTAGAGTGTGAAAGTAACTGAAAGTAAGTACACCGGGGTGTGCATTGAGCCATTGACATGAAATTCTGTTGGGAAGGTGTATGAAACTCAAAGGCTGTCGAGTGCTGAGGCCTTGCCTGAGTGCCCCGGCTGTCCAACGCAGGGCCATGGAGGCAAAGGGACAACTTGACTCAGAGGATTCTTTTCATGCGGCGACCGCTCTGTTCAGCATCTTGTGTCGCCGAACCGCCATCGCCGCCATCGCTGTCATCGTGACTCGGCTTCCAACCCGACCGCCGCTGTCGCAGGACGCTGGAAGAGCACAGCGTGGACGCCGAAGATCGCTGGAGTATCTGCTTGGTGTCTCGCCATGGTCCCTAAACCCCAACACATTTCTAAATCAGGGCCAACGAGAACCTCCTGAATCACGGACCCTTTAGAGCTGACTTGGGAGCAAAAATTGAGCAAGGCGAGGCTCTCTCCCAGCAGATGTACAAGGTACTCTAAATCCCACTTCTTTCAGTGGTACATCCACCTCAATCCCTCGTGCAGACGCAGATGCGACGCCATGATTCGTTGTTTCAAGTGTAGCCTGTTGTCATCTCGTCATAATTCCATTGCGTCGCTTTTGCTAGCCGTGCACATAGTCCCAGTCGCAGCCACAACGCCACCAAGCTCATGGGAGGAATCTTCCTGGGGCCTTCGGCTGCAGCCGCTGCCGGCGCTCGGCGCCTTCAGGGCAAGACGGCTGTGGCGCTTGAGCGCAAGCGGAGTGTCAGGGGTGTGTCGGAGTACCTTCGGCCTAAGTGGAGGCATTTCTATGGGTACCAATTCCCGCTTTGTACTAAAGATAAGTCAGCGCCACCGGAAGGACGGCCGTCTGGACCCCGTCTTGTTAAGCCATGGGGCCTGAAGATTCTTCGTGCGGGAACATCCTGTTGAGCTCAGTTGCTATAAAGTCACACCCGTTCCCGGCGTCATGCTCCCTGTTACAGACCGTAGAACACCCGAAGCCCCCGCACTCGTGAGTTGCCCTAAGTGGATCTCCGAGCCTCCCGACTCCTTGATTGCTGAAGCTGCCTCAAGCATCCTCAAACCTTGCCAGCCCCTTACGACAACAACGTTCTGCCCTCGATCTTCGCAACAGAGCCCCAGAGGTCACCGGGGCCAGCCGAGGCATCGGCAAGGCGCCTTGGGACACTTGGGATGTGGCAGGCTTAGCAGATTGCTCAGCGGACTTTGGAGGATTTTTCTATTGGACTCTATCAACGCGCCGGTCGTGCGTAAGGGTCTTTTGGGATCTTTTGTTGGGACCTTCTGGCGCCCCGTCCTTGACCTGCTTCGAGTGTTAGGGTTTGACCTCGTGAGCTTTTGCAGTGGCTATTTGTTTTCTTTAACCTCTATTAGGGGCGTCCCCACCCTAAGCTCCAAGGCCGGGGAAGCAACAACGGGTGGACACATGCAGGACATACGGGACATACGGGACATATGGGACCCGAGAATGCACTTTGCCCTGAGTCGCGACTCCCTGCAGGGCATTGCTGTCGCTTTGGGCGAAGCGGGCGCCAAGGTGTTTGCAGCCTGGCCGCAAAGGTGGGTAACTCCAGGTTTATGGTCTGAAGGGTTGGCACTTTGAAAGGTTGAAGACTGGGATACTGGTCGGCTCGAGACGATGTTGAAATTCTGAACAGCAGACCGCATGACATGTTGAATTTCTCCAGTTCTTGAAGCTTCGATTGATCGGGCACTCGCCCACTTGTTTATAGTTTGAACAGTTCAACCTTCCAACCTTTACTTTCGCCTCTCGCAAACGTGGACTCTCCAATCTTGGAATCAAAGGTTCATACAGATTCAACCCTGGAAGCGTTGATCGATTGAGGGCTTGAGAGCGATCAGTTGAGAACAGCGGCACAAGAAAACGAGGGGCGGTTGAATATGCTTAGAGAGCGGAGAACAGAGTTGCCCTTTCAAAGGGGAACATTGTTTGATTTGAAGAGGGGGCTTCCTCGGGCAGACTGTTGTGGTGGCGAGATTTTTGCCTTGGAGACTCCACAGGGCTGAGTGCACAGTTGTTTTTTTGTAGCCGCTACGGGCCACAAGCCGCTTACAAAAGCCCTCTCAGATCCCTTCCCAAACCATCTCTTCGAGTCTCACACCGTTTCTTCGAATGGTGTTGAATTGTTGAATCCTCGTGCCAAGATTTCCAGTCCCGAACGCACAAGAAGGGCTGTTTGTGCAAGTAAAAAAGAAGTCTCTCTCTCTCTCTCTCTCTCTCCTCTACCAACAGAATATGACTCGCAGAGAGGTCACGGGCCGGCGCAAGGAGGCTGTTGAAGCCACGGCAGCTTTGGCAACGAGGGCAGGTGGCGAAGGCCCCTTCTGGGTTTCCATGAGGGGGGCCCTCGATTTGTACGGGGCTGTTTGGTGGTGTGTTGCTGTGTTTTGGTGTTCTTTTTTGGGCCCTGTCCACACTGACGAGGCCAGTGAACTGCGCCTAGTGCAAGGTCGGAACCATGCTCCCTTGTCAACCAACAATTCATAGAGAGTTCTTTCAACCCGCAGCTTATCGATGCCTACGCGGCGAGCACTCCGGTCCCGGGCCAGCAGTGGACAATCCACCCGAAAAGGCAGTGTTCACTGTGAGCAGGAATAGGCCAACAGGCACAGGAAACTTGGAATCTCAAGGCACATGCTTGCACCTCCACAGTGGTGCACGTGCTGTTAACTGTCACAGTCACAGCATTGTCGACGACAACATTCGAGGGGCCTTCCTCCCCCACCCCCACGCTCCCCTCACTCACTCACGCACGCACCCACTCACCCACTCACCCACTCACCCACTCACCCACTCACCCACTCACCCACTCACCTACTCACCCACTCACTCACTCTCTTCAGGATTCACTCACTCACTCAGCCAGCCAGTCGGTCGGTGAGTCACTCGCCCACTCGCGCAATTGCTAGCTGATACCCTTGGCTTGTTTATGCAGTGTCCGAAAGTTTTCCCATGTTTTCGTACTGTGCATCGGGCATGGAGTGCGATGTCCCCATCGAAGGCAAGTCTTCCTGCTCCTGCCACGACGACGATTGTCGCAGCAAAAATGAAAGCTGTAGGTGCCTCATAGCATCCTGGCCCTCAACCCTACAAGCTTAAACCCGCTGCCGAAGGCGTGGCGGTCATCTGTGACCATGCTGTGGACGAGCAGGTCAAAGATGCCTTTGCGCGGCACCTTTTCTCAAAAAATCTTTGGGCTTCAGGGGGCAGGGCCCCGTAAGGAATGACGAAGCCACTATACCAGCCTCAGAGGCACAAACCACACGCTGGCTTCGGGCGCCGAGGCCCCAAGGGGTAGCAGGGATCCAGTAGCGTGGTGCGTGCGGACATGTGCGGACATGTGCTGACATGTGCACATAAGTGCTGATCCAATCGCTCAGGATTCAGGTGCAGACGGCACCAGAGTTGCAGAAATCAGTGCATTTGGGTTCTTCGGTGCGGAGTTGACCTGACGACTTGGTGTGTGAGGATTTTAGCTTTAGGGCTGCGGAAAGCTTTGAGCCTTGAGCATTGAGCCCAAAACCCGACTGAGTCAACAAACGCCAAACTGCCTGATCTCGTCTTCTGTGACCGCCCCCAGCAAGACTCCTAGGGCGGAAAGCTCGACATCTTGGTGAACAATGCCTTCCAGGAAGCTGACGCTTGGGTAGTTCGTTCTAGGCCCCCTTGTTCCATGGTTTTCACTCGATCCGTAGGTACCGGAATCTTGCACGCTGAGCTTTGCACTCGAAACCACGTGGGGACGTGGGGGGAGGACCCCGCCCAGCGAGACGCCAAGAGTGATGAGCTCCTTGGCAAGGCGCGGCATGATGCCGATTACTGCCTGTGTGAATGGACGAGAAGGGGACTTCGAGGATGCTCCTGTCAGATCCTGTACATGTAGCTTTGGTTGCTCACGGTCCGAACATGTAGGTTGCTCATGGCAATTTGCCCTAGCCCTCATTAGCCCGCAATAATTAGACTTCGTTAGCCCTTCTTGTGATTCGCACAGGGCGCCAAGTTCTTCGAGCTACCTCTGCAAGTGTGGGATGATGTACACCGAACCTCGCTGCGATGACAGTGTTTTTTTTGAGTTAGGGCGGAGGTTCAGTTTTGGCACGACCGCATACAGACTGATAAAACAGGGTCTGTAACTAACTGCTCTGTTCGGCACAGTTTTGCCGCAGGTTCTGTTTTGTTTGAGGCGAGAATACGGCCGTGCACAGCAAAGCACTGCAGCAAAGCACTGCAGCAAAGCACTGCAGCAAAGCACTGCTTTGTTGGTGCAAAGCTTTGCACTGCATCATGTTAGGGTCAGCAAGCCTTCAGCCACGAGGTTCTAGGGGCAGGGGCGCAAGCTAGGCTTTGGTCGGCCAGAATTTCTCAGCAGCTCAAGCCTCTCAAACTTCTGAGTCCTTGCCGCACCCCAGAAACTCTTGAAGCCTTCGGAAATGGATGTCCTTTGCGCTGAGGAGTGGGCCTTCGGTCGCACTACGTGTCCTCCTATTATGCTGCACCCCTCCTGCCCTTCTGGCCGCATCAGTAGTGTGTAGCAGAGCAAGAGAGCTGAACAAAATGGTTTCTTTGCTTGGCGGGGCCACAATGAGGTAGCTTGTCAAGCCGCTTGGGGCAGGAGGGCGGGCATGTCGACTTCAGAGAAATTGAAACTTGCCTGTTGACACTGTGACCCAGAAAGCTAGTGAAAAGGCTGAACGCTGCCAGTGGTGATTGGCGACCTTTGTGAGCGCCCCAGAAAGGTTTCAAGTTTCAAGTTTGAACATGTTTGGGGTGTTTGTCGGCTTGAGTTTTGTATTCGGTCCTTGATTTTGTTGAGGATTGCTTCTTGGTATGGTTGTCTGGGTTGGGATTAGGGCTTTGTTGGACATGTGGGTTCCTGTGAGATCTAGACATCTTTTTTGCTCAGGGCCTGGAGCTTCCTTCTCAGATTCGGATACGCGGCCCAGTGTTGTGAACATCCGTGCTTGCATTGATCCTCGGGTGTAAGATGACAGCTCAATGTAGAGCACCTACCCCAAAGTCAGAGTTGTCATGAAGGCCGGTGAGCACCAAACCTGGAACTGCTGACAGCCCAAAGATCTGAAATATCCAGGCCCGGCGCCCCGGAATCCTAGGGCTGTTGAACCAAAAGACTTGCAGAAAAGGCAAATGCTTGGAACGTCCTGAACCCTTGAGTCCAGAATTCCATGTGATGCTGAGACGTTTGCTTTGTCAAAGGCTGTGTGTGACATCGGCTCCCGCTGCAGTCACGCATCTCGGCTGGGACTTCCTCGGCGAAATTTTATCGGTGCTAAGAGGGTGCAAACGGCGGTGACGGGCCACAAACTGCTGCTTCCAGGAGCCTTTGCTAGAGACTCCACACTCCACCATGTTGGTTATGACTATGATTTTTATCTTTTTATTAGTATTAGTATTGTATTAATTAGTTATTAATTCGTTAATTAATGTGTTTTTTGGGGGGTTCTTCTGTTGAAGAAGGTACTACTACGCCACTGCCTACGGTGTAGCAAAGGCTGGGAGTGGCTCAGACGCACTGCTGCTGCTGCTGCTGCTGCTGCTGCTGCTGCTGCTGCTGCTGCTGCCGCAGCTGTAGCTGCAGCTGCAGCTGCAGCTGCAGCTACCGCGGTCTGGGGTTTGGGGGTATGGTGTGTAGGTGTTCGGGGGAGTTTGGTGGCTGATTTGCAAAGGGGGGGGGGGACATTGAGGTATTGAACGACTGTGCGGGTTCAGGGTTCTGAGTCTCAAGCTTGAAACATCTGGCAAAGTGCAGGGTGCTGTGCAGGCCAGGTCCAGCAGGCAGAGCCCTTTGATTGGTCGAGCAATACCTTGATCACCTGCACTGTCGACCCCTGCAGGCAATCAGCAAAGGGACCTTTCCGCTTGGTCCATAGGCATAGAAACATGTCCAGGCTCGCAAAGCCAAAATCCTGAAACTCTCAACCCTTGCACGGATTGCACGGTGGAGAATCTCGGAACAAACTCTGGAGCGCGTTGCCCAGACTCCGATTGCAAACCTGAAGCCTTTCATTTTCAACCCTGCTTGAGGTGACCGGCTAGTTCGCGATCTGCAGGTGTCGCGGTCTTTGGGTTGTTTTTTTTTTTTTTTGCAGTTTTGGATCTTCCGGATGGTTCGGCTCATGGGAACGGTTCGTTGTCCGAGTTGATGCCTAAGGCCCTATAAGTAAGTAACGTTTCCGCAATGTCATGGTCTCAGGATGGGCTTCAGGCTTTGGGAGCTCATGCAGTGTCGTTCGGCACATCTGTCCTCTGTTGATGAGAAGCGGTTCCTTTTGACACCACATCTCTTTCCCCCTTTTCTCTCTCTCTATCTCTATCTCTAATCTCTAATCTCTAATCTCTAATCTCTAATCTCTAATCTCTTATCTCTTATCTCTTATCTCTTATCTCTTATCTCTTATCTCTTATCTCTTATCTCTTATCTCTTATCTCTTATCTCTTATCTCTTATCTCTATCTCTATCTCTCTGTCTATCTCTCTGCCTCTGTCTCTGTCTCTGTCTCTGTCTCTGTCTCTGTCTCTGTCCCTGTCCCTGTCTCTGTCCCTGTCCCTGTCTCTCTCTCTCTCTCTCTCTCTCTCTCTCTCTCTCTCTTGAACCGACATAACTACCTATGAGAAGCGGAGAGCGTTGGAGAGGTGGAGTTTGGTCCGCTGGGCATTGACTGCGTGAGCATCCCGGAAGAATGGTTTGAGTATGTTTGAGAGTTTCAATGGTCAATGGGCGAAGTCGACTTTGGGCCTGTAACCCTCCCTGGGTCACAAGGTTATGACACTTCCAGCTCTGAGCCTGCAGCTTGTGGCCCAACAACAGCAGCTAGCTTGCTTGAGGGGGGGGGATTACCACAGAATCTAGGTTCGCAATGTTATCCAAGCCCAGAACCTTGGAGCCAAGATATTTCCTCGAGTGCTTCTTTCCGGAAATCTTGATTCGGGGGTCTGGGTCTGGCAGGGGGCAAGATAAAGACTCAAGAGAGGCTCTTGATCGTCAATCTTTTTTCGCACGTAGGAACTGAGATTCGTGTAAGGACAACTTCCGCAAGTAATCTGTAGTGCCGATGGAAGGTAGCTATTACGGATCAAGCAGCAACAACTCAACAACGAATCAATCTTGTTTGGAAAGTCCGATCCCACTTCTTTATGGAAGGGTCAATCTTCTGTCTCTTCATTCTCTAATGTTGACCTTGGCTTTTGCGCCTGGGGGGGGGGGGGGGGGGGGATGATGAGATCCAGTTACAAACCTACCAGGTCTTAGCACGGTTCTTGCTCCCCGGGCTTGCAAAGCACCTTTACTTCCTAGTGGCTGCCGAAAGATGGTGCTCATACTGTGTCCTTTCACATTAGATTTGAGGGAGTCATCTTAATCTTTCGGGTTGGTGTTTCGGTCATCAACCTACACCGCTGTGCAAAGATGGGCCTGTGAAGGTGGGGTGGTTGCGGGGGCGAAAATTCTTTTGCTTAATAGAAATCAGGTTCTGGTTCCACGAACATGGTGAGCAATGAAGAGGTGCTTTTCATAACCCCCAGTACTCATGAACAGGCTGGCGCCGTTGGCCGCTACTACGGCCCCTGACATTTGCCATGCTTGAGACAAGCGAGGGCCATCTCGAGAGCCGCTCTTTGATAGCCCAGAACTGCCCAGAGCGCCGTAGAGCACCTCGAGTCGAGTCCAATCAAAACCTTCGTTTTATGCAACGTTGGGGACACACAAGTAAAGCAGCCCGAGGCATTTGGCCCGGGGTGGTCTACACCGAGTTCGTCCAATCCTTGCAACCAAAATGCACCCGTTGGTTTGGGTTGGTCTTCGCTCAATTTTCGGTCGTGTCTGGGGCTGTGCTCAGTTTCGTGCGGTTTTTCCCGAATGCTCCGCAGAAGGGTTCCCGTTTTAAAGTTGGGGGTCTGGGGGTTAGGAGGTTACCAAACGTCGTTGCGTTGTGTTCGTGAAGCGTCTGCAAGCGTCCGCAAAGCGTCCGCAAAGCGCGTCACGTGCGCTGTTAAGGGGGAACTCCACAGGATGCGTGTCCCCGCGGCGTTCCGAATCCGTCAGGCTATGGGGGAACTCCGCAGGACGCGTGTGCCCGCGGCGTTCCGAATCCGTCAAGCTAAGGGGAACCTCCACAGGACGCGTGTGCCCGCGGCGTTCCGAATCCGTCAAGCTAAGGGGGAACTCCACAGGACGCGTGTGCCCGCGGCGTTCCGAATCCGTCAAGCTAAGGAGAAACTCCACAGGACGCGTGCGCCCGCGGCGTTCCGAATCCGTCAAGCTAAGGAGAAACTTCACAGGACGCGTGCGCCCGCGGCGTTCCGAATCCGTCAAGCTAAGGGGGAACTGCACAGGACGCGTGTGCCCGCGGCGTTCCGAATCCGTCAAGCTAAGGGGGAACTCCACAGGATGCGTGTGCCCGCGGCGTTTCCGAATCCGTCAAGCTGACGGGGATCTCCACGGCACGCACGTCCCGTGGCGTTCCGCGTGGCGTTCCGTGGTGGTGGTCGGTCGTGGTGGTGGTCTGTCGTGGTGGTGGTCCGTCGTGGTGGTGGTCCCGTGGTGGTGTGGTGGTCTCGTGGTGGTGGTTCGTGGTGGAGGTCCCGTGGTGGTGGTCCCGTGGTGGTGGTCCGGTGGTGGTGGTGGTGGTGGTGGTGGTGGCGGTGGTGGTGGTGGTGGTGGTGGTCCCGTGGTGGTGGTCCCGTGGTGGTGGTCCCGTGGTGGTGGTCCCGTGGCTGTGATGGTGGTCCGTGGTGGTGGTCCGTGATGGTGGTCCGTGGTGGTGGTCCGTGATGGTGGTCCGTGGTGGTGGTCCGTGGTGGCGGTCCGTGGGGGTGGTCCGTGGGGGTGGTCCGTGGCGGTGGTCCGTGGTGTGGTGGTGGTCCGTGGTGGTGGTCCGTCATAGGTGACTGCTTTCTGCATTCGGGTTCGTGGCTCCTATCAGGTTTCCTTTTTTCTCGCGTGTGGTGTTCGTCTAGAGGGCCGGGCTGACACTTCAACTCCTGGGCACTCGCGTGTAAGCTGACGCCGGCTTGGGGAAGCCTACATCTCCAACAGGGCTTCATGCTTTGTGTCGTTTTTACGGGGGCTTTTGCTCAGGTATGAGAAGGGCGACGTGGAAAGGATCAACCGCGCAGCCCAGATGCACTCAGCCGACCCGGTATGGCCCACCCTGCTCCTGCAAACTGCACGAGGAAAACACACAAAATGCGCCCCCCCTTTTTTTTTTTTTTTTTTCTTTTGCGCTTTGCTGCTGAAGCCGAGGCCCTGAACCACCCTGAACCGCCCGAAACGCCCGAAAACCCTGAGGAGGGGGCTCCCTCTCTCTATCTCTCTCTGTGGAGTCCGTGGAGTCCTGACTGGAGGACTGGAGAGTCTTCTCTCGTGAGAGAGGAGTGAACCCTGAGGTGACGGGCGGCCGCGATCCCAATGCCTGGGTCCCCAAACGAAAGGCGAAAGCGGCGCCAGAGCTTGCGGGGGATCCTCTGTGATTCAGGTCTTCAGTGGTTTGGAAACAGAAGTCGAAAGGGGACTGCAGAAGGAGGGGATCAGGGGAGGAACTCTTAGAAGGGATGTAGAGAGAATAATTGCATGTTTAGGAGCCCGAAGTTCCCTGAGTACCTCTAAGCACCTCTAAGGTCTGGAACCTGGATGGAAGAAATCCTGGCCTTGGGTTTTAGACCACTGGGAGTTTTCGGTTTTTTGTTGGGGCTTGGCTCTTGGACATGGTAGGCGTCTGAGCGAGCACTCCATGTGGCACTGCGTTGTGGGTACCCTTGGGAGGTTTGCAGGATACCGGCTGGCTTCAAGTTACGACCGTACTCGCCAATGTCATGTTTGCAGTGTTTCAACCATAGAGCGACTGCACCAAATCTAAATCTGAAGCGTCGCGCTGAAGACTTGCTCAGGGCAGCTTAGAGTAAAGCTCCCTTCCGTTCCCTTACTCGGGCTGCGCTCAGGTGGTTTGCGAAAGCCCGCTGCTGACGGGTCGTGTGATCACACGCCTTGCAGAGGTGGGCAGGGGACCAAACGGGGCCAAGGGCTCTCGGTCCCTTGTGTGTGGAGAAGTTTAGCTGTTTGTAGAACCGGGCTTCGGTTTTGGGACGGAATCTTGGATGCTCGACCTATGGATCAGCATGCACCGCTGGACCCTCTGTTCCATAATCTTCCCTTTTCCATCCTTCCCTCCTGGCACGAATAACGGCGCTTCTCCGAATGATGGTTTCTGAAAGCCCAGCAGCGGGGTTGAAGCTGCGCCGAAGATCCAAACTGGAAATCCCTGAAGCTGAGCAACCTCAACATGGTGCTTGAGTCGTACACCCCTCCATGTTGCAGGAGCCCGCGATTCGCAAACCCCCTTTGCTCAGCCGCTCAGCCAAAAGGGTTCTAGGATTTCGGAGAAGTGTCGGAGAAATCGGAAGGGGGGGGCAGTCTAGACCCTGGCTCGCTGTCCAGCAATTCGGGTTGTTGGTTGATTAGGGTTGCATTGGCAAACCCATTTTTTTGGGGGGGGGGGGGGGGGGGGGGGCAATTCAGGTCGCTGTTTTGTTCGCTTCGCGGGGTGAAGCCAACTTCAGAGTACCTCGTTGAACTGGTTTCGCAATCTTCGCAATCTTCGCAATCAGAGCATACAGGTTGAAAGCCGACAGGCGCACAAAAAATCAAGTCCTGCTCTTCAGCTTGTGTTGGGCGTAACTTGGGATTGGAGATGTTTTTTTTTTGTTCTTTTTTAAGTCTTGATACTTACGGGTTCAAGCGCAGGGCGAGTCTCGGGTTGGTAGGCCCGCGCCTGCTTCTAAGATTTTTGATCTTCACTTTGTTCTTTGACTTTCTTTTCGTGCTCTAGATTACATCTTCGCGCCAAGGCTCTGGGGGCCTCACGAGCCGTGTCTGCGTTGTGGCAGAGGGCGCGCGGGACGGGTGATAAGATCGTGCTTTTGAGTGCTTCTCAGAACAGGCACAACTGATGCGAGACAGTGCCCTGAGTGAGTTCCTCCTCATGCATTTTCAATTAGAAGGAGAGGAGCTCTCGTTTGGAGTAAGGGACCTGATCCGGCTGTGTGGGTGTCATGGGTGTCCAGATGCCCGCCCCCCCCCCCCCCCCCGGCTGCTCTCGAATGCTACTGCTCGCAACGCTTGGTGCAGAGAGGACCTTGGTCTGCGTGACGGCGGGGCACCTGGGACGGTCGCCGCCGAGTCTCTTGGCGCCTCTGCATCGCTCTGAGGTCTTTAGGGAATCGCAGGCTCCGCTGTGCTGAGGCTTGTAGAGGGCTGAAACACTGCTGAAACGTTTTGACTCCTCACATCAGCCCACCCCCAAAGCCAAAAGGCTGGGGCCCAAGGCTTTATGGCCCTGACAGAGAACCGGCAGCATCCATCCGCTCGCTGGGTGGCGCGGAACAAGTGCGGGGTCTGGGAGTCTGGGTCGGTGGATTCGGGGAGCCCGTTTAGCTTGGAAGAGCACAAGAAAGTACGCTCTGTGAGAAATTTTGCTCAGGATTGGAAGCTTGGCGATTATCGGTTGAAGGAGGTACAGGGTTGAGAGGGTTTGGTTTACAGGGTTCGAGGTTCATGGTCCTCAACGCCTATGAATCCTATGCCGATCGACCTCTAAGGTGTTCAGGTGTGGGCTCAGGGCCCTATGGTTTGAGTCTGGCGGTCCCGACTGGTCTAGGGTGTCACTTGCCAAATCTCAAATCCCATAGCCAAGTCCAGGCTACCTCTTGCCAGCCTTCCTTCCGGACAAGCTGCCGCCAAGTCCCTTGGAGATCTGACTCCACTCCCCACCCCATTGAATGTGGGAGTTGAGACCAAGCCTGCAAGCTTGATTCGCGGGTTCAGGATGTTCAGGGGTTTAGGGACTTTAAATACGAGACCCGTAGCCCCAGCCAAAGCCAAAGCCCAAGCCCAAGCCCAAGCCCAAGCCCAAGCCCAAGCCCAAGCCCAAGCCCAAGCCCAAGCCCAAGCCTAAGCACATATGCATGCTCAATAATTTCTTTTGTGTCTGAGCGCTTTTTTGGAGGTCTGCGATGGCTGGTGGAGCCAGGGGGTCCGTTGGCCAGCAAGGCTCCGTTGTCGAATCCAACAGAACCGAAGCCCCAACGCCCAAGACGGCGAAGCATCTCTTGCATTAAACTTAGCAGTCAACTCTGTTGGCTTGTGAGTTTGTTTTGTGAGTCCAGCGCTTGGGAGGCGTAAAGATCCTCAAGGGCTGGGAATTGACATGGCTTCAGTCAAGTCACTGAAATCGCATCAAAGCTGGAGAAAAAGCTGCGAAACCCTTGCATCGCCAGAATAGGCCACTACAAACCAACAGCATTGAGGGATATTGAGGGTAATCTCTTAGGTTTCTTGTCCCCTTGCAGGTACACGGAATAGCGTCCTATTCCGCTTCCACCTTCAAGCATAGCTTTGTTAGGCAGCGTTTGCTTGGAAGTCGCTCTTACGATCCAGAAGTCTTGCAGTGTCCCATAATGAACTGGAACCACCGGTGAGCGGGTGGAGCGAAGTGAACACAGGAATTAGACCAGAAATGTGGGGAACGAGTACGTGCCGGTGTTCACGAGCTCACGAAGGGCGGAAAGGGGACGTTGAGGGCCTGGAAGCCCCTGCAGGACATCCGGGTGCCCTTTGAGCTCATGGCACAGGACCCCCGCACGGAGGATCCCCGGAAGCAGGCGGGCGAATGTGCGAATGTTGAGAGCTGCTTTGGGCTCAGAGTTGTTTCAGGTTTAGTCGGGTGGTTCTTGGACATTTGGCGCTGGCTGCTACCTCCTCAAACTTTGAAGGGTCATTGATGTCAAGGCCGTTGAAGTCCCAGAGCTCTCAACAATTCAAGAGCTTCTTCAAAGGACAAGGAACTCATCGGAACTCCTAAGCTCAGCCCCTGGCGCGGAAAAAAAGGGACACTCGCGGCACTCGCGCGCAAAAGAATGTGGAGATCTCAAGCAGGAGGAGCAGGAGGCCGGTTTCTACCGAAAAGTCAAACGAGGCGTATCAAAGGCATCAAAGGTCAGGACTCGAAACCTCTCTGCATTGAGTCGAGTGGCGAAAAGACCTCCGCGACCAAGCTCGTGCTGGCCCCCCCAGGGAAGGGCTTCCCCCCCAGCTGACCCCAACTACCCAACGCCACGCCACAGGGAAGAGCTGCGTGAAGAGCTGCTTTGGGTTGTTCAGGTTGGTCAAGAATCTGTCGGGGCCCTGAACTAGATGTAGGCCCCGAGCGGCCTGGAAGCCGTTCTGAACCTCAGGCCCCCAACTCTCAATTTACCCCCAACGCTGTCCGAAGTCATAAACACCACCCGCAATCCCCCCGAGAAACGGCCTGCTGTAGGATGCCCTTTGTGTGAAACCCTCTTTAGCCCCCAAAGCGGCGACCCCCAAAGTTTCTGAAGGGCGAGCCTTTCGGGCTTACGAGGGGCACGCTTGGACCCAGCCAAACCATTCCATAACCATCCACAACCATCCATAACCATCCTCCAACTTATCCATAACCATGACCCGGTACTTCCCGGGGTATTTGCGGATTAAAGCTTGCCCGCAGTTTGATTCTAACCCTTTTCGGGGAACCTCCGGTTGTCTTATCTTTGGCCCCCTTCTTTTGCCAGGATCTTAAGGACTTCGCCAAGGCACATCGAGGGTAGCGGGTTTCAGGGCATGAGCTCCACTTCACTGTTCAACTCGCCCTCCGCAGAAAGGCTGTGAATTCCTAGAGCATGGCACCTTGAAGACCTTCAAAGATGTTTTGCCCTCTTGTGAGATTGAACGCGAAAGTTGGTTCAGGTTGTGAGATCCTAAGCCGCAACCCTGCCACTCCTAAACCCTCGCCTGGGACCCCAAGAATCCCTTGAAGCTCCTGAAGCCCGAGAAGCCTTCCTCAGACTCCCTAAGGCCTAAGGCTCTCGATACACCTCAAGGAAATTGCCTTTGAGGGTTGTTTTGTTTCCTCCACCCCCCCATGCGACATGCGAATCGTTTCAAATGTGTTGGGGCTCGCTCGTGCTTCTCTCTTGTTCTTCTCTGTTGTGGTTTGTGTGCAGTTTCGAGGCTTCAGAACCGGTGGAGAAGAGTCAACTAAAGAAAAGAGGCTCTGTGCCATAAAGGTCTCCGAAGCCCGGGGAACCTGAAACTCCCAGAGTTGCCTCCGGGTGTTTTGCGTCTCAGCAGGTGCTGACGAACACCGTGTCTGTCCCGGACTGACATCTTGCCCTCGGGCCCTCGGGCCCTCGGGCCGCAAGCAAACTCCTAAGACCCGCTAACTGTCGCTAACTACTTTTCTCGCCAGCTCGCCTAGTAGCTGGTTGCACATCACCTGCAGCCCTCAATGCATAGCAAGATATAACATGCATGCAAAGTGCACGTGCCTCCTCTTGGGCAGCTGGGGATTGTTGCCGTTTGGTGATAACCTGAATTTGCCGCCCGGGTATGTTTTCTACTCCCCTGCAGTGCTTAGAGCTCAGGCACGCAGGTGCTCGATGGTGCTCGACTGACGCGTAAGTTTTTCTTGACCATATCGACAGTACACTCTCACATTCTGAGTCAATGCAGAAACCTGGAGACCCCACCCTTCTCCAAACAAGGCTGCCGAGGCGCGGTCTGAGAGGCACCTGCCAGCAGTCCTAGCACGTCCACCAAAACATCCCGTCAAACCCCAACATTTGCACACGTGCGAAAAAGCGAC